AAGGTCGCCGCGGGGTCGAGAGGTCGCGTGAGGTCGCGGCGGCGGCGGCCGCGCCGCAGCGCACCAACTCTTACCGCGACGCGCTGGGACGCTCGGAGCTCGCCGTGCGATACGTCGACGCGTCGGAGGACAGCTCGGGAGATGAGCGACGCGCGCTCAGCTCCCCCGCGGCCGGGGAGCGGCAGGCGGCGTCGTCACGGCGACCGTTGTCCTTCATGCGTGCGCTGCAGGTCAGCGAGGAGACGGCGGCGGGCGGCGGCGACGGCGGCCAGCAGGCGGCGCTCATGCCGACCGTCACCGGTCACTACTCGCCGCAGACAAGTTACGACATCGCGTACGAGATCTCCGTTTAGCCGCCGCCAGGGGGCGCCGCACGGAGAATCGCGGCGCCCTGATCGTTGCGGCGGGCGCCACCTAGTGACCTATTTCGCTGCAACGTGTGGACACAAGCCACGGCATTGCCGTATTGTACATTGCACAGCTGTGGTGACTCGGTGCTTCATACTTGTGAGCAGGGGCTGTAGCAGCAGTAATACATGCAGCTAGCAACAGCTACCCACCATACAAGATATCTACACCATACAAGATATATACACCATACAAGATATATACACCATTCAGGATATATACACCATACATGATATATACACTATATAGGATTTCCTCAATATACGGGATATTCTTACCATCCAGGATTTCCTCACCATACAGGATAATTATATACACTATACAGGATATCCACAGAATAGAGGATATGTACACTATATACAGGATTTCCTCACTATCCAGGATACCCCCCCCCTATCTAAGATATACCCCCACTATCCAGCATGCCTGCACCATACAGGATATATGACACCATGCAGGATATTCTTACTGTCCACGAGTCTGTAGCTGCGCAATACGATATGGGAAACGCGTGTGCACCGCTTGTTTTCTGTGCGTGAGCAGGGCCCAGCATTGAATGAATGTATATAACATTTGTGTGTAGAGAGTTATAGTGGAGGAGAGTCGAAGGAAATCGATATTTTTGTTAATGTACTTACGTGCCAGCCAATGATCGCTTAGCGAAAAAGAAATTTCGTTTTTAATTCTCGCACCAAGCGCGCAGTATTTTGTATTTTATCGTTTGTTCGACCGCAGTCTCGTCTTTGTCCTTGCCGCATCGTGTGTCTGTTTGTTCATGTTCAGGGATAGAAGAAGTATATTCTCATCTCACTGCTGGTAGTCAGTGGAAAGTAGAATTATTTTAGTTTTCCCTGCATTTAAATTTTATCGCGACTGGCTGGTTGAACACCAGATCAGGTTAAATTATGGCCGCCTGGTGGATGAAACCGCTAAGACGTTCTTGGAAAGCATTTCGTAATTTAATGTTATTTAGAGTTTGGTCACGAGTTTGAGTTGCGTACATCAAAGAATCATATCATTTGTACTCCGACGGTTACCCACAAGGCATAATCGTAGGCTCAAATGTGTTAAGGTTTCGTGTATATATTTGAAAACAAATGTGCGTGTATTTATTGTATATATTTATGTACGACTGAAATCAGTGTATGAGTGAAATCAAACAAGAAATATGGGTCAACAGCACGATATAGCGTCCAATAGAAAGCTAGGCTGAATTTATGTAACTCTAAGGCAGCTGTGTGGGGTTCTTTTTAATGTATAGATCCCTCGTAGATGCAAATAGCTAGCATTTTTTAACACTGAACGTGGCTCCTATGTTATTGCAGGTGTTCCAAAGTGATGCCGTCTCCATGTATATGTCATTTAATTTTCCACGTTTTTAATTGTCGAGAGAAAAAATTCACCGAAAAAAAGTGCCACTGCCGCCCACCACTGCTTGTTCTTATTGGCTTCGTATGCAAGGGATGCCTCATGAAACTATAGGAAGAAATGACTATAGAGAATGTTTATTTACATGTATAGTATTTTTCATGTTTACTCTTGATTTAATTTTATTACCATGTTTAATCCAGCTCAGTGTAGCGGTCATAGGTTTAGTGAAACGTCAGTTTAGGTTTATATGAAGCTGAAAGTGAAGCTTGTGAAGAACTAGGGAAATAATCGGACAAGTATTTAATAGTAATTTCTTCCATTTTCCAAAAGGCCTTATAATAATATATTGACATACTTTTATATTTACCGCACAAATTTCCATGATTGTGGTGCTGGTTTATGAAAAATCATGATCATCGTTGTGGAAGAGCAAATCACTAGTGGAGTAAATATGTGCAGTGAGTCATTTTATCATGATCAAAGGTACGTGTACAGCAATTTATTATTAATTGTATAGAATTTGTCGACTATTAAATAATGTCAATCATCATGTGACATGCGTGCAGTTCATTTCATTATAGAATAGCAAACATTCATTTATCTGATAAAAACAACAACATAGCAGCTGTTAGCTACACATAACCTAATAAGGAATGCAAGAATGAAGGCCGGAAAGGAGGGAGGGATGGAGGGAGAGGCTGACACTGGTTGTACCACTCAGTTGATCAAAACACCTGTATAGTAAATTAATTGTTACAGCAATGTATATACATTGTAATTAACGTTTATTAAAAATGCATTGCACATTACAGTGTACGTTCGGTGGAGCTCTGACCTCTATATCACATACGAATATATTCCAGAAAATAACTTTTCAAAATAAAATTATGACTCATACATTGGGTAATGTACTACACTTTAAAAAAAATGTAAGTTTTACTAAATTGACATATGTAAAATTTGTAAAATAAATCTATAACATATTCAGTTAATTATATTAGTTAAATGTTCCCTGAAGTTCAAGTTGAAAACCAATACAGCACTGTCATACGTTGTAAGCAGTTTGATACTTCTAAGCTTGGCCATTTAATGGTGCCAATGACTCACTGCGTACAGTAAGGTCATAGCTTGTTTGAAATACTGTTAATAGAACCATCGGTGAACCAATACCGAGCCACATACTCTCACATCTGACTAGCATACTCTCGTATATTTACCAATAAATTCCATATCACAAGGAAATGTGGCATGATCTGGTTGCACGAGCCAATCCCTAACCCAATTTAAATAAATTGAGTTACCCCCAATTATAACCCAACCACAATTTAACCATGATAACCGTTGACGATTAACAACTAAACAAACCTAACCCAAACTCTTTTTCCTGACGTCATACACAAAACGTGAATGTCAGCATGTGATATCCCCAGGAATGTATAATATAGAGATATATTGAGATATATTCTCCATATACACTCTTGATATCCCCTCGTGCGATGGACATGTCTTATTCACCATTCTTAGAACCAATGAAAGACTTAGGTGACACGTACACTGCCTGCTAGTCTCTGTTATATTAGCTATCAGATTTCTTGTCAATCTCTGTGTCTGTATGTTAGCTAACAGACTGCTTGCTGTTCTGTTTCTCCTGCGATGCAATTTCGTTATTGCTGCCACAGATGACCTGATAAGTCCCAACCAACATCACACTGAGCCAGTAGAGTTGCAGCAGCAGCACGGTGGCGCACCCTACATTGCACTTCAATGGAATGGACATTACCACCTGGGCTATGCTGAGTCCAACCTTTAGGAAACAACACATATGCGAACATAAATAATAAATAACCTCCTTGTGCATAGAAAAAATACTTATTGAACGCGACGAACATTGATGCCTTCAATTGAACTTTACCATGTTTTGACCATTGTAGTCGTTTATGACTATCATACCCCTATGATCATACCAGTAAAAGATCTAGGAAGATGTTCTAATGCAAAATCGCACTGCTCAAGATTTACAGAGAAGAATTGCACACTGAGAATAAATAAAGGTGACCTTACATTCTTAAGGTGAATTTGAGCTTGAAATAGATTGTGATGACATGATTTAACTAATTCGATGTTTTGAAATGGGTGAATTTTCACGATTTTGGAGTCTATTCGCATATCGACATTTTGATATAGGGAAATTTGCGTGGCTCTGGAGCACTTTTAGGTTTTAAATTTCAGGTTTGGAAATATTCACGGCTTCCTGTCTCAAATCCTTGATCAGGTTCAGGTTGATCTTCATCACAAGATCCCACGACACATTACCATAGCAACGAATATTAAACCAAACCACGTACAGGGGTAGAAATTAACTTTTGAACACGGGAGTCCAACGGACTCCCAGCCCTCAAAAAGAGGGAGTCTGCAGCAAAATGAGGGAGTCCGCAGTCTGAGGTTCGAAATTAAAGATATTTACAATAACGCATGTGCTTATTTTTAAGATTCATGCGGTTGCATGTCTGCCAAATTTTCTTTGGACATTAGCTGAAAAAATACGGTAATTCCGCGAGGCCGTGCTCTGGAACGAACTAGTTAGTGTGGCAGAATTTTCAGGGAGTCACACGGACTCCTGCATATTTCAAATCAGGGAGTCCGACAGTAAATCAGGGAGTATTTCACTCCGGACTCGAGTTAATTTCGCACCCTGACGTCGTATATATGGTATACACCTACCTGTTGCCCGTAACACCAGTACATGAAGGGGAATAGAGCGACTCGGCAAACAACGAACGCTACCACCATGGCGAGACCGTTGCATAAGTAGACGCAGGAGCTCTTCTGATAGACCTGTAAACATCGCAATCCCTTGAATCAACCCGGAGTCGTGATTCGCCGCACGCACTCCTACCCGTGCGCGAACACTAGATAGACGATGATAGCTTATACGTGACAGTTACATCCAGAACAGGACAGATCGAGTGGTCTTATGTCTTTAGAAATCATTTCCCGACTTCGTAGTAGAACGATGGCATATGGAGAGAGTAAGTATAGTATAGACGAGGCAGTGGAAGGATAGCAGGGTGAACTGTCGTACAATGTAGAAAAAGGAATTCGGGAGAAATTCCAGTTTTTCCCCAATCCTAGTCGCCACTTTGCCATCGTTAGGTCAACACGAGGTTATCTCTAGGTCAACATGAGGTCATCACAAGGTCATCATGAGGTCAATGTAAGGTCATCGCAAGGTCGCTGTAAGGTCACCGTACCTTGGCGAGGATGGAGCGGGCCGACACGAACGGTGTGCTGAACTCTGCTAGGTAGAAGCAACCAACGAAGAAATCTCCGCGGTCGTGTCTGAAGTGCTGTGAATAATAATGATAATAATAATAACACGGAGCGCCAACTAGGTTTGCCAACCGGACACGTCACGACGTGATGCAACTAGTTGCAATTATTGATGTTTCTATGGTAACAATACTGTAAGTGGACCTATTCACCTTTCAGTTGATGCTCACAATGTATGATAAAGACAGAGGACCGGTCTACCTTTTGTGATCTCACAATGTAAGTTAAGGACAGGGGAGCAGTCTACCTTTCCTGATCTCACAATGTAAATTAAGGACAGGGGAGCAGTCTACTCTTCCTGATCTCACAAAGTAAGTTAAGGACAGGGGAGCAGTCTACCTTTCCTGGTCTCACAATGTAATTTAAGACAGGGGACCAGTCTACCTTTCCTGATCTAATAACGTAAGTTAAGGACAGGGGATCAGTCTACCTTTCCTGGTCTCACAATGTAAGATAAGGACAGAGGACCCGTCTACATTACCTGATGTCATAATGTAAGGACAGAGGACTCGTCTATACCGATGCTTACCACGACCAAAGGGAAGAAGACGGCCAGCAGCACGAGGTGGTGGACGATGAACAGGCCTCGCCGGCAGAGGAAGTGGCGCAGCAGCGCGGCGGGTTCGACGTGGGAGAACATGCGTCGGTGGACGTCGTACATCGACCACACATCGTAGAGCATGTACGGACACCCAAACCACGCATAGTCCGTGGCAAGGTGGTGCCTGCGAGAGGGGGGTAGGGATGTTGCATTAACGCGAGAGGGGGTAGGGACGTTGCATTAACGCGAGAGGGGGGTAGGGACGTTGTGTTAACGCGAGAGGTGGGTAGGGATGTTGCATTAATGCGAGAGGGAGGTAGGGACGTTGCGTTAATGCGAGAGGGGGGTAGGGACGTTGCGTTAACGCGAGAGGGGGTAGGGACGTTGTGTTAACGTGAGAGGGGGTAGGGACGTTGTGTTAATGCGAGAGCTGGGTAGGGACAGCGCGTTAACGCGAGAGGGGGATAGGGACGTTGTGTTAATGCGAGAGGGGGGTAGGGACGTTGTGTTAACGCGAGAGGGGGGTAGGGACGTTGTGTTAACGCGAGAGGTGGGTAGGGACGTTGTGTTAATGCGAGAGGTGGGTAGGGACGTTGTGTTAACGCGAGAGGGGGGTAGGGACGTTGTGTTAACGCGAGAGGGGGGTAGGGACGTTGTGTTAACGCGAGAGTGGGGTAGGG